AAACTAAGAACTGGAACCTTGTCCCAATCTTTAATTATTCCTGCCCTTTAGCTGCTTTTTCAAGGAAATACACATTAACCAAATGGCGATTGAGGTGTTTGCTGTAATCTTTTTCTTTCCTAAAAGAACGATCACAGAAGATGCAAACAAAATCTCCCCCAGTCCCTTTGCCTGCCAAGGCTTCTTTTGCATCTTTTGTACTAGCTTCTTGTGGAACTGGACGAGCCCCATGCAATCCAGAATCATCACTACCCTCTGACATGTTGTCACTTAGGTCACTTCCGTCATGACTGTGGATACCTTCATCTTCATCAATTTCCTGAGACTCATTTACTGCCACAGTAACAGGAGGTGAAGCCAGCACAGTTTGGGATACTGCTTCATGTTCGTCTATTGGTGGGGGAAGAAGCAATGGTGAAACTGGTTCTCCAACTGCTGAGTCTTTATCAGGGAGATTCTYTGCTGGGTTATGATCAGTGTCCATTTCCACTTCACAAAGCATAGCTGAGTCAGTCTGATGCTTATCAGCTAAAGTTTCACCCCCTGGCATATTCAACTTTTGTCCAGAAGATGAAACACTAGTACTAGATTCCTTGGTACAGGAATCAGCTACACTCTTCTCTGCTTCTTCTGTTCCTACTTTCAGAAAAGGATCTTCTTTGTTTCCTTCACTTTCTGAGAGTAATTTTTGGTCTTCTGACTCCTCCTCTCTTAAGTCTTCCTTTGGCAGTGGTGTTGATGATGCCAAAAGTTCCTGTGTGCTTTTATTTTCCTTTAGAATCTGGCTACCTTTAACAGGCACTAAGCCTACTTCAATAAGGACTTGCTCCTTACGTGTCATTTCACTCTGCATATTGGACCTTTCCTTTCTGTTATCTTTTCGGGGAGAAGTCTTTTTGGGAATTGGCTCATTGTGAAGAGGAGGATCTATGGGAGGAGATAGCTCCATCTGAGCAGTCTCCTTCTGAACAACTTCCATCTGAACAGACTCCATGTTAACAGGCCCCATCTGAACAGGTTCCATGGGTAGAGGCAACTCTATCTGCAGAGGCCCCTTCTGAACATCCTCTGTAAGAGGAGATTCCATAGGAGAGGGCAGCTCCATCTCAGCAGGCCCCTTCTGAACCTCTTCCATAWGAGCAGACTCCACAGGAGGGGGCAGCTCCACGTGAGAAGGCCCCTTGTGAACAACCTCCTCCATGTGGACAGTCTCCATAGGAGGGATCAGCTCCATGTGAGCAGACTCCTGGTGAACCACTTCCACCTGAGCAGGCTCTACTTGAACAAGCCCCTTCTGAACCACCTCCATGTGAGCAGGCTCTACTTGAACAGGCCCCTTCTGAACCACCTCCATGTGAGCAGGCTCTACTTGAACAGG